ATTGCCAGAGTTCCCAGGCTGGCTTCAAAGGTTCTCGCAAAGTGCCCCAAGTACAGGGTTTCCATCTCATCATAAGGCTTTTTTCTTTGTCTCTGCTAAATGGATTACTCCATCCTGGCCTCCCTCTGTGTAAGTCAGCTTGCACATGATGAGCTTTGCAGCAATGAAATTCGTTACCTTAACCACAAGAAACCAGAAACATTTGCTGCAACTGTTAGAATTCTTTTGCACCTAATTAAAAAAAAAAAAAAAAAAAAAAAAAAAAAAAAAGGTGGTTTCCTCTCTTCCTCCCCCCTCCTCCCCGCCTACTCCTAATCCCATGCTAGCACCTTTGTAAAACTGGGGTGAGTAGTTTGGAAACTGAAAGGGGGGGAAGGGGGGGCAAAAAAAATAGAAAAATATATCAGATCTCCAGACAATGAAATTGAGCAGCTATCTCTCATATCCTGCAGTGCTCAGGCTGAGGTCATAAGTTAAACAGGACATCAGAATAGTTGATGTAATTTGCTTATTTAGGATCAGAGCATTCAGTGATGTGCAAGAGACAACCTATTTGAATGTGCAGATAATCCCCCCCTCAATGTGGGGCCGTTCAGATGCACAAACTGCAGCTGGAGCCTGGGATTTTTTTCCCCTGCACATTTATTTTTGCAGGGGATATAATTGCAATCATTATTCCTTGCAGGAAAGCCTTGAAACCTCACCTGGGATCAGCCTCCTGTTGTGTAAGGTATTGTTCAAGCAGGGTCCCTGCCCCAGCCAGCTTAAAGGCTAAAGGGTCAAGTCAAACAGAGGGTGGGAAAGGAAAGAGAGGCCCGGGGGAGGGGGGTAGCACAGCGGCTCCGCAGGACCCAGGTCCCGCAGCCCGCTCCCCCACCGGACCCGAGCAAAGCCTCAGACCCAGAAGTGAGCTGAGCAGCAGCTACACTTTTCAGTAAAGCCCAGCACAGCTTTTCTGCAGATGGACAGACCCTCCTGGCTCCAAACCCAGCTGCAGAGCCTCACAGCAGTGAGGGTTTTACAGCAGTTAGAAACCTTTAACCACAAGGTTCTTCCAGATTCCAGGAGGAATTCCTTGGTGAGCCCAAACAACACCGAACACAGTGGTCCCTTCAAGCCATAGTGACAAACCCTTGTGATACAAAGATGTAAAGCTAACAACTTGCAGTGTTTATCTCCTCAGTTTATCACCATCCAAGCTGGGATTCTTCCCTGTCAACAGCACTACTCACCCCAAGCCTGCCAGCCCTGTGCCTCCACTGATTCCATACCAGTGTTCTTTCACTGACACAAGTTGGCTGGGCCAGACACCTCAGCCACGGGAAATTAAACATCCTGGGCCCTGGGGCTCACCAAGCAGTCAGTGACAAGGCCCTGGCACAGTGGCACGTTCAGAGGCATAGCCCACACCTGCTTTGGGTGGACTTTCAATCACATGGCATGGAAAAGCAAGATGGCAAAAGTCACACCAGTCATCCAGGTAATGGATCCTGCCAAAACATGGCTGTTCGCAAGAGACAATTCATTCTCCTTTAAGAGGCTGGAATGACATGAAGACATGGAGTTCATGTTCTCTTGCTGTCTCACTGGGCCATACCCAAGTGTCACAGCAGGATGTCCCAAACAGGGACAGCACCAGGAAGGATGGGAGACAACCACTGCTGCACCTGGGAGAGGAGCTGAATTTCACCCCATTATGAAATGACCCCAATGTCAGCTGTCTGTGCCCATGGACTAGAGCCCATGCCTTCTTCAGCAGGTTTGGGTGTTTTTCGTTTTTCCTACTTGAACTGCTAATTCTGTGCTAGAATCTTCTCCAAGCTGTGGAGAAACGAGCACCACTGATCTCCTGGGTGAGTTGAGCTGTGAGCTGATGCTAAGGCTGCCACAACAGCCTCCAAGAACTCCACAGAAATCTTCCTGACTACTTTAAGGGTTCAGCATTTTGAACACCCCAAACATTATTCCACACTGTCCCTTCCTGAAGGAAGTATTTCAGCTGTCTGAAAATAAGAAAAATACAAGATACTCAAATGCGTGCGGAAGTGACCGGCACATGACATTTGCATTCCAAATAAAAGGAATGGGTTTGTAACATTTTAAGGCTATGAAATGTAGAACTTCTATAGGGGTTTTTTGTATGTCACCAAAAGATACAATTAATCTTCTTTTCACTCAGCCCCATTAAAATGTTCCTCACCAAAGGCACCACCAGGCTTAGCTACAGCTGCTGTAGGGGCGGCTTCACCAGGATCATCACTGAGTCCTTATAATGCAGCACTTGAGGAACACATGGAATGAAAAGGTTATTCCTGCACCACCACTTTGGCAGCAGTCTCCACACCTGAAGCCTTTAACTGGAGCAACCAAGCTGAAGCCCAGCACAAGTGGGAGTAAAAATGCTGAGCAGCCCCTGGATGACACTCCCTGTGCACTTGCTGCTCTAGGTCAGACAGAGGTAGCCAGTATTGGCCATTGTTTTAACAGAAGCAGTATTTTGGTAGGGTTACAAAGCAAGCCTATTCTTTACATCTGCAAAAGAGAGCCTGTCCATTCCTGCTGAGGGAGCTGACAGAGGAAACGTATTTTCCAGCAGTCTCGGGTACAACATTGAATTGTGACCTATTTTTACCACGTGCTCGGCACTACACGCATTAATTGTTATGACAACATTTGCTACCATATTCACTCCAGTCATGTACAGAACAGAGCCCAGGAGAGACAGAGGGAGCAGGCAGGATGCCACATTGCTTCCTATGACACACAGCCAGGGCTGATGACACAGATAACCCATCCCGTGCTGGTAGGTCAGGCCCAGCTCCACGCAGGAGAGGGAGCAGAGGAGTCCAGCTCATGGGTCACTACTGCCCATCCTCCTCCTGCCTAGCACAGACACAGCAGCACTTGGCTCTTTCTGGAGCCCTGCTTTTGTGCCCACCATGCTCTCCCACTGTAGGAGCAGCCAAAACTCTCTGTCACCACTCTGTCACCCCTCAGCAAAGTGCTCTGTAAGGAAGAGCAGAGCTCAGAGCAATCTGGGAGCCACAAGGTCTGCGACCCAGCTCCGGAGCAGCACGGACAGCCTAGCAAGCACAGCTCAGCAGTTTCAGGATCCAGCCTCCATCCTAATTAAGCCCAATTAGGTTTAGAAAGAATGAGGATGTTTTAGGAAGGATGTGTAAAAGAACTGCTGAAGTTTCTGTAGGCCATGTGGGCCCAGAGCACCCTCCTGAAGGCAGAAATCGCCTCTGTTGATGTGGGCTGTCAGTTTTCTGGAGCGCTGGAGGATGATCCCTCTCCCTGTGCAGCCCACGGCTCCCCTCACACACAACCCCAGGAGGTGCCACTGGGAGAGCTGGGATTCTCCTCCAGAGGATCAGCAGCACATCAGCCAAACCTGTGCTGTCTGCAGAGACAGCTGAGCAAAATCTGCTCCAAAATACCAAGGCCTTAAATGAAGGTAAATATGATTCAGAACAGGGAGAAGTTTGACAAATCAGCATCTTCCCATCCTGAGGGGTATAAAACATGCAGCTGTTCCACCACCACAGTTTACAGGGAAGGCATTTCTCCTGGAAGTAAGAGAACACTTAGTATATATTCCTAGCCAGATTGATTGCCCCTCTTTATATTGTAAACTAAGATAGCATGTACTAAACCCATAGAGTTAACCAGTTCCAGACCTCAGATCCTGGGTGAGGGGTCAGTTTTCCATTGTGTGCTGCACAGTCTTGTGCATTTATTAGAGACCACAGAGTTTCCTGCAGCATGGTTTTGTGTGTGTGTGTGTGCTTATTTTTGTGGTATTTCAACACCCATCAGGAGGAACACTGCTATTTTATGGGATGTCAGGGAACTGGAGAATCCATGAGTATTTTTAAAGGTTTGTTTAAAACAGCCAAGAAGCCAGCGTGCCACTATAAATATATATATGTGTATAACAACTGCAATCTGTTCTGGGACAATAAAACCACAGGGCTGAAGGCAGTATCCCATAGCTGAATATATCCATTTATCCTGCAGTAAGATGAACCCCTGTTCTGTGGATCTGACCTGCAGGGAGTTTTGTCAGTCTCCTCTCACAGCCAACCTGCTCAGCTGGACAACTCTCATTTGCTTTCTAAGTTACAGATCCAGTTTCAACATCTGACAGCAGATATAAACAGAGGTTCAGAACATGCTCTCTCCTGTGTCTGCTCCTACACCACTTGTACAATTCCATTGGGCCAGGAGACCCCAGATCTCTACCATGAGGCATTGAGCCAGACTCATTGGCTTTTTTTATCCCTAAGAAAAAGCTAATTTTCTAACCAACTTGCTTCTTTTTCTCTCTTTAAATACTGATAAGGTGAGAGATGTTGAAGTTCCTTGTTGGTTTGTAACGCAGTTTGGGAGGGGATAGGTTTCGGCGTGTTGCTGTAATAAATACAATAGTGAAATTAGAAGAGATGGTGATTTGAGCTAACACAATTAAAATTTATTCTTAACAGCAATTCACAGATATCCTGTGCCAAACACAGTCTGAAGCCATCAACTAGCATGGACATGAATTAACCTAATAGCTTCTGAAAAAAAAAAAAAAGAAGTCCTACGAAAAAATCCTCCTATTAAAGTAATTAAGTGTTAACAGAATCACAGAGCCATAATTAAACATGGTTTATAATTAAAACAGCATGTGTCCTAGACAGAGGACACAACAACGAAGAGAGTCCAACTATGACAGCTGATGCCAAAACACCAGCCAAGTACCAAAAATCAGAAAAACAGGCGAGTTTCTAGCAAAGCTGCAGATGCAGAGCCTCTGATCCTCTGACTGAGCCCTCAGCACTGTGACGGCTGTGACTGCACTCAGAACTCCTCACGGCTTTTCCAGGTGCTGCCAAAATTCAAGGAGAACTCTTGGGAACCAAGAAGACACCGAGTGCAAGGCCCAGGACACCAAGACAGCGCAGGGAGCAGTGGGCGAGCGGGAGCCGGGGCTGGAGCCAGCCTCGTCCTACCTGGCAGCGGCTGAAGATGTCACCCAGGGACACCTGCACGTTGAAGTGCTTCAGCACCTGCAGCGCCTGTTCCTTTGCCTTCTCGGAGCAGTTCACAGAGAAACACCTTCCTTCTCCCACCTGGGAGCGCAGCTGCAAACCAGAGACACCAGTGAGGCCAAGCGTCAGGGCACGTGGGGCTGTTCCATTACTCTTGGCTTGGTTTGAATTTGGAATAATGCTTGGAGTTAGTGTGTGTTTACAGTCTGAATTCTGGTCTGAGCACCACAGTTGGTAACCTAACAGCCACTTTGCAAGGGCTCTGACTCCTGAAGCACTGCATGATTTTATGTGTATGAAACATGATTTAGGCTGGAGAAAGGGAGGCTCAGAGAGGACCTTCTCACTCTCTACAACTCCCTGACAGGAGGGTGCAGCCAGGGTGGGTTGGTCTCTTCTCCCAGCTAACAAGTGACAGAACAAGAGGAAATGGCCTCAAGATGCTCCAAGGAAGGTTTAGATTGGATTTCAGGGAACATTTCTTCACAGAAAGGGGGTCAGGCATTGGAATGAGTTGTCTAGGGAGGTGCTGGAGTCATCTCTGTAAGTGTTCAAGAGCCATCTGGATGTGGCACTTTGGAGACATGGTTTAATGGGGACCACGGTGGTGATGCTGGGTTAACAGATGGACTTGGTCATCCTAAAGGTCTTTTCCAACCTTGACAATTCCATGATTCTATTCTACAAAATATACCCAAGTCCCATCAACTCATAATTTGGTGAGGTGGTGCAGACAGGGGCAGTAAAAGGAAATTGAGTTCAATCCCAGCTTTCTGATTAAACTTGGCCAGATCCCACAGAGTGTGCCAAAGCACAATGATGGAGACAATGTCCAGCGACCACTTCAACCCCTCTGATTCACACAGACGTTTCACCTGGAGTTACCTGGTGGCCAAGAAACTTGACGGGGTTGATGTGGGCAGTCCCTCAATGTTTGTTCCACACTCTGCAGAGAAGTGTACCTGGGAAGTCCCAGACACATCTTCATGACCATGCTAAGGACTCACAGGAGTGGGATCAGCTACACACCAGTAAAAGAGCCTAGCAGAGCCATCCCATCCTTGTGGAGGGCATCTGAAGGCAAGGGCACTGAGGGAACCAGACATTTCCCAGGAGTATTGTACCCTGGAAACAGTTATTTTCCTTTTGCAATTCCTACACAATACTTTGAAGTTAGAGTTCTGCCAAAGAAAATGATGCTGGATGCTAAATTTCCTATTCCACCAGCTGTAGGCCCAAGGAACCTGCAGGGTGGCTGCACCTGCTTTACAGTGTCTCATTATGCAAGGAGTTTTATTCCATACTCTGATTTTCCATAGGAAATCAGCAACCCCTATTCTGCAAAGATTCTGACTGGCTGCCTGAGTAGCTGGGAGATTTTATACTGACAGTTTGTGACAAAGAAGTCCTGCACCCCTGGTCATGTGAACAGAACTCTGGCTCACTCAGAACAGTTTCACTCTTCCAAATGCATTTTTGGGCAGTACAAAATTGCAAAAGACCTGCAACAGGACATCACAGCGCTGCAAGCACTGACTTGGCAGGTTCAGCATTGCATTTTGAAGCGTGTCTGTGAACAGCTCTGAACAGCTGGTGCTGAGGGCAAGGTTGGCCTTTGCTTTGGCTTTTCTGTTTATCTACAGCAAAACAAAACCTCTCTAGCTTCCACCAGACCCATGCTTGGGGCCTTCCAATCTCCCTCTTCCAAGCCTGAAGAAATGTCCCTGAGGGCTGGAACTGGCTGCTGAGCCAGCCAGCAAGCAAGAATCTCTGGGATAAAAAGCACAGAAATTGAGCTGCCTTTTCACTTGTCAGTGAGGCCAGACAGAAACACACTGTTCTGGATTACTTGGCTTGATTTTCACCCCCACCCCCAATGGAGAGCACTCACTCTCCCCACCAATACAGGACTGAATATAAGTATAAAAACGCATTTCACCCCGAGCCTTGGTGGTTGAGAACAGAAAACCTCTAAGACCCTAAATGTAGCTTTTAGTGGAGAAAACATGAAAAATCCAAGCCAGCTGTTGCATTCAGATCTGACTTTTTCTCGTCTCCCCTGCACACCCCAGACCACGCAATGATCAGTTTCAGAAACACGCCAGCAGCTTGGAATACTCACAGTCTGATATGGGAGTCCAGAGGTCAAAATGACTCTTCCTTCCTGTCGGGCAATCTGGAAAAAACAGTAAAAATCCAAATGAACAGGGGCTGAAGTTACAATGAGTTCAGGCTTTACTTGTAGTCACAGAAGAGAGGAGGTGAACTGGAGATATCGAGTGTTTCTCTCAGTGTCAGTCCCCACCTGGCCAAGAGTTCCTGCCAGCAACAGCAGCTCAAGGTATGGCTCACCCCTTGTACCCTCCCTGCCTCATCTCCCATGTGCTGGAACAAGCTGCTGGTGCATCTGTACTACAGATGGCCCAGGGGACCATTCCACCTTGAAACCATCCTATACAAAAACAATATTTTTTTTTCCTGTAACCCAGACTATTTCTATTTCCCCACTCTGGGTCACAAAGAAGGAAACAGTTCTGCTGCACAGGGGAAAAAGGAAGAAAACCTAACCAGGTAATTCTAGAAAAAAATGTACCATGAAACATGCATGCAAACGTCATACCTTTAACAAAACTGCTCCTTAGAGAAGGAGAGTGTTATTGCTCTGGCAACCCAAAACACAAGAATTATGCACCTTTCCAGACTGCAGAGAACATCTCCTGTAGAATTTATCACCTCCTGACTTGGAATCCTGAGCGTTTGTCAGAGCTCTGGTCCTTCGAGTGGAAGGTCTGTGCTGAGTTCCCACGGAGCTCATCACCTGCCTGCTGACACAGGCTTGGGGACACTGCAGAGGGCTTGCTGCCAAAGGGAAACACTAAATCTGGAGCTGCAAGGGTGAAGTGTGACTGACCTTCCTTCACATGATTGAATGATGCCCCTTCCTCCCACCCCTCACCCTCCTGGAGGAGGGACAGAGCCTCATGGCTGCAGCAATAGGAGGATTCACAAGGATTCCCATGTGAACCAGGACTCAGCTCTGATCCTGCTGACAAGAGATCAGTGCTTTGAAGTACACACAAGGTTATTTCTCTCCTCTGGCTTGGATTCTGTTAGAAGTCCTCATGTTTTTCACTGACTCCAGATGTGTGTCATGGAGGTCTCTCATCTGGTACAGAGTGCAGCAGCTCTGTCTGGATCCCTCTCTACCCTTGGCAGGAAGACACATTTGGGATCAGAGTCCTGCTGCACTTCCCAGAGAGAAACCAGCAAGCACAGCCAGGGAACACCAGACAAACCAACGACAACTTTTAAGCTCTGTCTTGGGTAGTCATTCTCTTAAGACTCAGTGGACCTATGGCAACAGGAAACAAGGGGGAGATGGCTCTGAAGGCCCCATGCAGGCAGCTAAACAACCTGGTTTTCCCCTTTTTTCTTCTTCCTGAGCTTTCAGGTATCTGCTTCCCTCCTTTAGTTGTGAAGTCACTCTTTGGCTGAAAGTTCTGCACTGAGAAAGTGATTGGCAGCAACTTCTAAAACATTGTTCTACAGGCAAAATTACTGGATTTCTTTCAAAATCAACCCACTCTCTCTCAATAGAGGAAAAAACCTCTAAGAACAAGAGCCTTGAAGGGGTAGCACAGACACCCCATGCAGTCCTGCTGCTGAGCAGCCACCACAGCACCCTTGTGGCATGGTAGTGAGGGAGGTCTGCTAAGGCAACAGCAAAAGGTCACCACAGGGATTTGCAAACAAGGGAAAAGGGATGTGAAATTCCTCCAGACCCATGTTTACTTCAGGGTAAGTCTGAGGATTTCACAGCTGGAACACTCCATTCTGACTTTCTGCATCCAGGGTTAATTAGTTCAAGCTTGATAAATCCCCTTATCTAAATGGCTCTGCAGAGACAGGCAAAGAACATCAAATAAAAAGGAGAAAAGCAATAACTCTTCCAACATGTTTTTCTGCCTCTGGAACAATGACTGGGAGAAGCACGCAGAGCCAGAAAAGCCATGTGATAGCACACATCTGACTGAGACCACAGAGGGTATGTGCTGGAGAAAAGGGCATAATTCTTTCTTTTTCTCCAAAAGCAACAAGGGAAGGCAGCACTGGGACCATGGGGGGGATGTATGGTCAGGGATGCAAATGAGAGGGAAAGAACACCCAGGGCAGCATTTTGGCATGACTGTCAGGGACCTGTGCTCTAGCCCAAGTGCTGCAGAGAGGGCATTGGCCTCAATTTCACAATCTATTACAAAGATAATATCAACTTCCTCTGGAAAAGGCTCAGACCTTCTGGGTAGAAAGCACTGCCTAATCTGTTGGTATTACTGATTAGCCCTTAACGTGTCTGTCTGTTCAGCCAACTTCCATCCTGCAGAAATGAATGAACCCACAGGAATTACTGTCAGAGAGACCTGGAAGGGCAGCTATTGAGGAGAGAGGGCAGAGAGAGCCCCTTTGTTTCCAAGCCAGCACCAGCAGCAGGATGATTTGTGACAATCTAAAGCATCCTGAACCAAGGGCAAAGGAGGTTCCAAATAACAGCAGCACAAGGCTGTGGATTTGTAAGTTAAACTTTGCCAAGTCAGTGCAAGACACATGTTGGGCAATGCCACATGTCCTTGACATGTACAGGAAAAGCTGTGTTCCCCTTGCAGTGCTATCCTGAGCCTGGGCCATCAAGGCCTCGCTTCAGACCAAAAGGGAGTGTACAGAAAGTGTCTGCCCCAGGATATGTGCTGGGAAAGCAGCCAGACAAGGATCTGCTAGAGAAGGGGATCACAAAACCCAGTCCAAATGCAGAGGCTCTCCCTGTAATCACAGGCTTTTTAAAAAGAGACAGTAAACCAAGAGCTTAACAGCTCTGAGCACACTCAGTCCAGCTCTCCCAGTATTGCTACCCTAATCTTCTCTTCAGCTTTCCTGAAAAGTATAAATTGCATGGAGTTATCACACGGTTTTGTAATGTGGCCTTAAGTGTCACACCAAAACCATCCACCCAGTTTTGTTTCTCTGTGCAGATCCATTTGTATCAAGGTCTCCAATGAAAGACCTTCTCCTCCTGCTGACCAAACATCAAAAGCCAAGTCTTGATCTTAAAATCAACACAGCTCTTCATCTGCCCTCTCTGAATTTAGCTTCCCACCAAACTAAAAAGACCAGCAAACCTGGAGAATGTCTCTACATCAAAAATATGGAAAAAGCCAGTCAAAGCTGAGACAAGATCCAAGATTAGATTTCCCCATTAAGTGAAGATCTGCTCACTGCAGGACTAAAATCCCTTCTGTATCACCTGGCTCCAAATTAGTCTAGGGCAATTTAGATCTGGGTGCACAATGCTCTAGCTGGCTCCTGAGATCCATCCAGCCTGGCCCTTCTCTGCAACTTGCTGGTTCACCTGGAGCTTTGGAGGGTAGGTGTAACCTTGCAAAGGAATCTTCCACAGCATGGGAGCCTTGGGAAGCCAGTTTTACCTGCCTTCTGGTTATTAGCATACTTCAAAAGATACCAGGTTTGCCTTAGCATCAGATTATCCTTAGAGATGTGGATGATTTTGAAGACCAAGAGCAAAGTCCATTCAAAAAAATAAAGTAAACCAACCCAGAACACAACTGAAGCAGCTTTTATTAGAAACCTAAGAGACTATGAACATTTTCTTAAAACCTTTTGCTCTGCCCCTGAGGTACAACACTGCAGGATCTACTGCAGTCACTCAGGCTGCTGGGTGATCCTGTAAGGTTAGTATGAGAAGGATGCCACTGCTTTGCCTGATTCTGCAAAACTGCCAAGAAAATAGAAGCATCCACTTTTCCATCTCCTTCCAATTATCTGGAAAACTCAAAAGATAGGTTTAAGAGTCTCTGCAAAGAGAGGCTTGCAGAAGACAAGATGGAATCATAGAATAGTTTGGTTTAGAAGAGATCTTTAAAAGGTCATCTTGTCCCAGCTCCCCTGCAGTGAACAGGGACATCTTCAACTGGGTCAGGCTGCTCAGAGCCTCCATCCAACCTGACCTGGAATTTTCCAGGGATAGAACATGAAAGACCTGGGTAGGAACACAACAGGCACAGGGCACAATTTTAAGTAAATAAACTTGTATTAATTGTAAATAACTTGTTGCTTGTAGGATTAAGTGCAAAGGCAAAGGGTGGATCACCCAAAACCAGGACCTGCACACTCAGAACCTGCTGCACCCCAGAGATGGAATCTCCACATTCTTTACCCCATGGGTTGCCTGGAGCTGGAGTCAGAGTCCCTGGGGAGGAATGGCTGGATCCACACAGCCCTTCTTCAGAGAGGCTACACAGCAGAAAACCAGGCTTGGGCCAGCCTGGGCCACTGCCTGAAGTCCTGCAAAGGCCCTGCCCGAGGTGCAGTGAGCAGTGCTGCTGGGCAAAGACTGCTGGGGACAGTACATGGTGGGTCCCACCAGCTCTCAGTGCACAGGCTGCAAAAATTCTCAGGTAAAGGAGGATGTCCAGCACATCTGGAACTACTTCCAGCCCCAGCTGCAGACCTGCTGTGCCACACAGGTGTGTGCAGGTGCTACAGCAGGTAGGACAGCAAGGTAATATGGGAAAAACAGCACGGCCACCCCATCGAGTGAGAGGGCTTTATAACAGCTGCCTTTCAGACAGGTTGCTGCTCATGGACAGGAGCTAAAATGCTTCTGTAAAGAACAGCCTGTGAGTTCTTTGCCTTTCACACGAGGACAGATTTAACCAGAGACATTTTCAGTATGAATTTCTACTGGTTTTCCATTTTTAAAGATTTTCTGTATCTGCACTTATGACAGGCAACTTTAATCAGTCACTTCTCCAATCAAGTCCTAATTAAATGGCATCATTAAATCAGAGACTGCAAGCTGGTAGCATCTCACAGCAGATACATAGAACCATAGAATCATAGAATCGTTAAGGCTGGGAAAGACCTTCAGGTCATCGAGTCCAACCACAAACCTAGCACTGCCAACTCCACCATTAAATCTGGTCAGCCAGAGGGGATCCAGTGGATTGTGGTGCCAGAGGCCCTGCTTTCACACCTCTGCAGATCTGGCATGATAAACTCACCATGACAAGTCCAAGATAAAATATTTAGTCAATATCAACAGCACAACATGAAGCATAACACAGGACAAAGGTTTCACATCCATGGGAATGGGGGTTGCCAAATCAATTCCTGTTACATGTGCTAGCCTAAACAAAAAAATAAATAAAATCCATAACTGCCAAGCACAGCTGAGGAAGTTCTCAGGCCTTTAAGCTTGATGCCAAATAACAGAAGGTGAAGGACCAGGCCCATCTGCCCACCAACACTTGAAGCCACTTTAACAGAGAAGGAATGAGAACAATAAGGAGCAAATGCCAGGTGTTGCAGGAGTTCTTGGCACAAAGAGAAGTGTAGTATGACTGATAAATCATTTGAGTGAAAAGACTTTAATGAAGAGCAAACACTAATGCTGTACACTCTTAGTTGTTCTTAGTGACACCAGTTTGAGACTGTGCTGGGACAACACCCAAACCATCTGTCTTGTACTCGGTGACCAGGATCCAAACCCTCTGCTGGCCTTAGCAATAGCATTCCCAAGTTTTTGGGCGAAGGGTGGTCAACATTCAACTTTGATTCAATCAGGACCAGCCAGATATCAGACAGGGTGGGAGGAGTCTATTTTTATCTTTGATTATCCAAGCCCAGATCAAAGGCTCTGCAATACAGTAACACTCCAAGCGCTTTTGATAGTGAAAGGATGTTTGTCCAGTCACCATAGAGAAAGCAATGTCAAACATCCTGTCCGTGGCACGATAAGGGATGGGGATGAGAAGTGGAGATGGGGCTCTGGGGGGAGGCACTGAGAACCAGTTTGTTTAAATAACTTGTGCAAGTTTGGCAGGGAGGAGATATTAATTATTTCTGCAGAAGTTAGAGCCTGCCCCAGATTCAGGCCAAGCAGACATCTGAAGAGGAAACACTCTGCACACCAGGCTGGGTGATCCATGCACATTTAATAGCACACACTGAGGCCTGGATATCTCTGTTGACTCCCTCGAAGGCAGGGGGGCCCTCAGGGAGACCTGGACAAATCAGAAAGCTGTGCAATCACCGACCAGAGGAAGTTCAAGAAGGGAAAGTGACATATTCTGCACTTGGGATGGGGCAATGCTGTATAATACAAACAGACTGGGGAATGAGATGCTGGAGAGTGGCGTCACAGGAGGGGACTTGGGGATCCTGGCTGAAAGAAAGTTGAATGTGAGTCAGCAGTGCCCTGGAGCCAGGAGGGACATTTGAGTCTTGGGGGCATCAGGCCCAGCATCACGGGCTGGTCAAGGGAGGGGAGTGTCCCACTCTGCTCTGGGCTGGGGTGGCCTCACCTCGAACCCTGATAGCCGTTTTGGGCACTACAAAATAAGAAAGACACTAGGCCATTAGAGAGCGTCCAAAGGAGGGCAACAAAGATGGTGAAGGGCCTCGAGGGGAAGGTGTATAAGAAGTGGCTGAGACTTGGTCTGTGCAGCCTGCAGAAGAGGAGACTGAGGGGAGACCTCATTGCAGCTACAACTTCCTGGGGAGGGGAAAAGGAGGGGCAGACACTGATCTCTGCTCTCTGTGACCAGGGACAGGACCTGAGGGAATGGCATGAAGTTGTGTCAGGGCAGGCTCAGGCTGGAGAGCAGGAAAGGTTCTTCCCCCAGAGGTGCTGGCACTGCCCAGGCTCCCCAGGGAATGGGCACGGCCCCGAGGCTGCCAGAGCTCCTGGAGCCTTTGGGCAGCGCTGCCAGGGATGCCCAGGGTGGAAATGCTGGGGTACATGTGCAGGACCAGGAGCTCTTCTCAATGATCCTTGTGGGTCCTTTCCAGTTCAGGGGATTCTGTGACTCTGTGATTCTGTGATCTGCTCTCCTGGGATAGCAAAATTGTGTCTGAAATGAAGCAGCATTTGTCTCTCATCCAGTAGGCAGAAAGGCAGAGTTATTATGGGAGCGCAGAGCAATACTCATGGTCCCCTCCTCATTTCCCAAATATCACTGCGAGTTGTGGCTGATCACCTTTGGGGATCTCGCAAGGCCAGCCAGGATGTTACATGGCTATTGATTAAGGACATTCTCCCTTCTGTATTGAACAGCCATCTTTGGATTGTGGTTCTGCCCAACTGACCTGGACACAAGGCAGACGAATACATTCCCTGCAAGCCCAAATTGGAGTGCATTATAAATCTAAGTGAGTGTTGGCTCCTTTCACTGACTTTTGTCTTGTTGCAAACACACAGCCTCCCCAAAGACACTTGGCCATGTCTTTGGGGGTTGGAGATGATCTTTAAGGCCCCTTCCAAGCCAAAGCAAACCACTCTGTGATTCTATGATCTTTACCCTCCACTTGTGTTCTTCTCATGACTTGAGTCGCCCCAGCTGCCAATGACACAAACAGACACACGTAAGAGTGAGATTATAGCAGCCTCTGCTCCCCTCCTCTCTCCTGGAAGTGAGAACCAAGGCCACACACCACTGGAGGGATCAGTTGATTCCAGCTGCCAGAGCTTAGGGTGACCCAAAGAGCTGGGACTCAGCATAGGGATAGAAGCTCCTGCAGCCTGAGAACCAGTGCAGTTTCCTAGTAAGCCCCATCTTGTCCCCATGGACACGGGAGCTGTGAACTCACCTCAGCAGCTTTCCTGTGCTCATCCTCATTGTTCAGCAGCCGGACATCCACGCCCAGGCAGCGCAGGTAGCGCCCCAGGCCCTGCAGCATGTTGTCACAGACCACGCTGAACTCCTGGGGGGAGATGGGGGCAGAGGGGCGTGGGGGCTCTGTTCTGGGTCCTTGGCATTCCTAGATAAAGGCAGGAGATCCATAAGGAGCAGAAGTCTGATTCCCAGTATATTTGTGTTTTTACCCCCTGCATTAGTTCACCCACATGGCACATCCAAGTGCCTCCTTCCACCTGTGTCACCACTCCCCCATGCTCTGCAGCACCTCCAGATCCTCCTTCCATCCTTTCCACATTGCCATCACTACCTGGGCAGGGGGCAGAACATGATGGAGATAATTCTGAATTCACCATTCTCTCACTGACCAGTTGGCCACCTGATCCAGTGACCTGCAGCCTTTCCCTGGAGAAGTGCCAACCTGGCCTCCAGTGCTCTGCACAGACATTCATTTTCAAGAAGTCACAGAAACATAGTCAAGGCTGCTGTTCCCCTAAATTAGTCTGCAATTAATAAACATGTGCTGAAGCTATGATTCGGGACAGACAGAGGGAGAAACAGGTAGACAAAGCAACCACGGCAACTCTGTTACCTTTGGAAGGTTAAAAATAGGCAGCGCCTGAATTCTGTTTGTTTTATTTCAAATGTCTGCTGCTGGGGGAGTTCCTGCACTTGGAGGACTTTGGCTTTGGGAGGCTCCCAGAAGTACAATAGCTAAATTCATGGAGAAGGGAAGTTATTAAGGAACTTCCAATGTCCAGCTTTTGACTCTGGGAACTTGAATCAGCTGGGATGACTGAAGGACACTGCCAGCAACTATGCAGGGAGCCAGCACTGCAGGTCAGTTCTGCAGGAGCTGGCTCCAAGCTGAGAATGCTGTGGCACACCAGACAGCTCCACCTGAGCTCACCATGGGAACCAGCTCAGGTCCAGGAGCAACATTAGTGTGATGCTGTAGTTCCCAGCAGCTGGTCCCTGCACCCAGGGCTCTGCAGCACTGGGCAGACTGGGCTGTCACCAGCTCCTGAAGGACCGTGGTCGATGCAGCTGTGAAACCAGAGCAGTGACAAGGGATGGAGCTGCCCCCTGAAGCTGAGGCAGTTGGAGACACCACCCCTGGCTGCTGCTGCTGTTCAAACAGATGTGCAGGAGCTGCAGCTGGCTCTCAGCCAGTGCTTATCCAGTGGCCAGCACTGTCGTACAGAGCTTTCTTCTCACATTTCATGCCAGCAGAGAGCAAAAAGCTTATAAAGGAGAATAGAGTCATTAGCCCAACTTCAGACGAGGAAACACTGGGAAAGAGAGCTTGGAGTCCTGCAGGATGCAGTCAGGACAAGTCTGCTTTTTTTGGTGTCCCAGTCCAGGTTTTACCAACTGCCTCTGGGCTGATGAATCTAACTGTACAGAACACAAAGATGACCCGTGGGTTTCCAAGGTGATTGCAGCCTGAAGGGCTGACTTTTCCCACCCAGCTCTGCTGCAACACACATCCCATGAATCCAGTGCTCAGAGAGCAGCTCTGTGTTCTCCTGCCTGCTGAAGGCCAAGGGATGCTGCACATTTACACACAGGTGGACACAGCAGCATCTCAGCCCAGCCATGGAAAGAGGCACTGACTTCAGGAGCTCCACACACACTTGGGGCTCTTCAGGATACATAGATACACACGGTAGGTTTTCTCAGGCAATAACAAAATGGCATTTGTGCCAAGGTTTCCAAAGGTGCACAAACCACTGAATTGTTCCATTTTAAATGTAAAATGTTATTGCTGAGAGGCACCAGTCACATTTCAAGATACTTAAGCAGAGTTGCACAGCTCTGCTGGAGTTTTAAGGCTCTGCTACAAGACAAACTTCTGGGAGAGGCCTCTCATAGAATGTGGTGGTGGGCAGGGAGGCAGACACAAGCCTCCAGCAGAAATGCATTTTTGATGGATTATTTGCTTTTAACTTTGCAGACTTCTACTCCAGACACAATAAAGGAGATACTCCCAGTGTGAAAGCAAGGTGTGGAAGCTCGGTAAAAAGGAAAAGTAAGGAAGTAAGAGTTTTGAAACCTTGGCCACAGAATCCAAACCCAAAATGTGGAAGGAACATTTCCACGAGCAAGGCTCACTGGGTTTAGCATACAGATCTGCACCCACACTGTGCAAATACAAGTGAACCTCAAAGAGCAGGGAAAGCTGGACCCAGACAGGCCAAGGAGAGAGCAGAGTGTCCTGGGAGGGAGGGGTGAGGAGGATGTTTGCTGCAAGAGTCCTGAGAACAGCCATGCACAGTGAATGGTGTGCCTGAGAGCAGCAGTGTGTGATGTGCAGGGGTCTTGAGCAGCAAGGAGCTCTTAGAGGATGTTTACAAACCTGTTCAGAAGGTGATGGTGCTTCTTGTTTATTCAGCTGCTTCTTTGCCCTGGGTTTTTTGCTCTGTTTTCCCACCAGACTGTCTGTCAGGTCTGAACCCAGACCGAAGCTCTCAGGGTCCTTGCAGAGCCTCTCATAGATCTCCAGCAAGCAGTAGGCATCTGAGGCTGCAGGGAAGAGAATGAGCCTCAGCTCATATAAGGCTCATTCAAAAGTAAACCAGAGGCTTTCCTGAGGCAAGGAAGAGCCCCCACATTTGTAAAAGTCACTGTGAACAACTGTGAAGCTGCAACTCCCTCAGATCATACCCTCAGCTCCAGGACTGACTCACTGAGCATCAGCTGAACCCACACTCACAGCGAGTCAAGGCAGCAGCTCCGAAAGACAGGCTCTGCCATCTCCATTCTAACCCAATAACCCAATGTAAACTCTAGTGTGGCTCTTCCAACCACCACCAGGTAGCTCCAGCCAGCCCCTGTTCCTCACCATTGTCCCCAAACCTGCCCACAGCTCCTTGTCACTCCTCTTGACAGGAAGGGAACTTCCCCAGGAGATGCAATATCTGAGCAGGTACTGCCCGAGCTGTTTGCAATCACCTGCCCACATTCACTGCTGCGTGCTGCTGCTCCCTGCAGTGGCAATGGGAGAACTCTCCCAGCCAGTCTGACAAGTCCCAGTGATTAACTTTTGTGAGAACTGTGTCAGCTTCAAGGATAGTCGAATTTAACAAAGGGCTGGTTTGCATCAGCAGACTGTCCTTTGATGCACCCGGAAAAGATTTAGACCCAGACTTCTGACTCTGGGGTAATCAGCAATAAACTCTATGGGTCCCTCCACAGCCCTGAGTCTGTGCTGCAGTTTCTGACACCACATCTGCCCATTTCAAACCTGGCTCTAACAAGCACCTCACTGTGACAAATGAACACAGCATTTGTTTCCCAGGAAGGCTGTGAAATGAGGCAGAAGGAAGTGGACTTTCCTCCTTTCAGTTACTGAGAGGAGTTTTCACTGAGGTGATGTTTCATCAGACAAAATCTGCAAAGCACAGGAATTCCTTCATAAGGGAAATAATGAATCACTGGACAGTTTAAACTTCAACCATTAAAGTCATGTCCTCAAAAGAACAAACAAAACATGTGCTGACTCTTTTGAACAGGAACTAATCTGCAAAGCCATTTTCTTCCTCTGCTATTTAACAACTTTCCTGGGGACAGAGCAGCCAAACACAGCCTGGCCTGGGCACCTGCAGCACCCACCCAGGGCCAGACCTGCATAGAGGATCTGCTCCTCCCGGAGCGGCCGCTTCTCCCAGTTTGACAGCTGCTCTGTTTTATCCAGAGGCTTCCCCAGCACATGCTGCACCAGGAGGCTGAGTCCTTTCTCCGGCTGCCTGACCCCTCTCTGCTCATGGCTGTGCTCCGGGGACAGTCCATCGACCTTCCGGCTGTCCTTCCCCCACTGCAGCTGATGGAAACAAAAAGATAGAAACCACCTGGTTAAGGAGCAGCTCCCAAACCACCTCCAGTTCCAGCTGGTGGGGCCAGGCACAGCCCTATCACATCCATATCGTGCCTGTCATATTGAACCCCAGCCCTCAGACAAGGGCTGGGATGGCACGAGATAAAAACAGTGTTGGGTTATTTCTTTAACAAACACACTTGCTGGAGAGAAATCTCTTCCATAGCCAAGGAAGGGAAAAAAGGGCATTCTTGTATAGCCCTGCACCAGAGCAGCAGGGCTGGGATGAGGTTCCTCAGGGGTCTGCAGGGTGCTCACCATGCTGGAGGCTGCTGGGTTTTCACACAATAAAGGACCAGCAGTGGCAGTTCAGCAGTTTTCTCCTCCTAGTCCCAGTGGGAAAAGGCATTCCTGTGACACCCTGGGCAGCCCTCTCTGCAGCTGCCATTTCTCAGCTTAAACTAGGGCAATGGCTGTTGGCAGCTATGTCAGCCCCTGCAGCACTTCCCAGGTTAAGCTATCAATCCCAAAGATCTGCTTCACCTCAACCCACAGCCTCAGAAACACTCTGTGCATTTTACCCATTAAAATGGTTGTGCTGAACATTTTTGCAGACTGCTGAAAGCTCCTGTGTGCAAATTCAGAGACAGCTGTGCTTCAGCTGACCAGAAATTCCTGTGCTGAACCCACCAGCATCTCTCCTAGGAACATCAGAGTTCTGTACAAATCATTAACTCCACCATATCTGCTTCAGTAATGCATTGCCTTGGAGTAGCAGAATTTCTACAAGAACTTTCTAAGTACAACTTGTGCTGAGAAACCTTGTCCTGGCTGAATGGAGCTGGGTCTCCAAGAGCTTTTCACGGCTTTTATAACGGCTATCAAAAAGCTGACAGTATCATAAACTTTAACATTTTAGTTGATGAAAACAAAATATTTCTGTGTTCCTTTACAGAATCCCAACACCTCAAACCATCTGGAGGAAATGGTCTCTTTACTCATGCAGCCATCTCCCTGCCAATCCAGGATGCAAACAGGATTCAGGACAGTTACCAACAGCACATGCAGGAGACACCATTTCCCACATCTCCATGTGTTTATCCTTACTTGTTTGTCCACTGCAAGAAGATCCACCACACCTTGCATTTGCTTCTCTGTGTCTTTCAGAGTAGAACATGTGGCTGCAAGGCTGCTGAGGTCTCCAGACATCCCATAGCCTGGAGACAAAAAAGCTCAAATCACACAGGTAGGAAAACTGAAATCATGCTTAATGCACTGCAGCTTCTTCTAGTTCAGAGTCAAAATGCTGACAAAATATTTATAAGCATTGGTGGGAAGACTGTTCAAACAGGGAACAAGAATGGGTCGTATCTCTTGTGTTCCCAAGAGACACTCTTGCAGATCAAGGGAAAAGAGAGGTGCGTGAAAAATGCTGAGTTTAAGATCAACTTACTTAAAATCAGGGAAAGGTATTTGTTAATTTGCCTCTGAAATCCAGGTTTAGCAGCTCCTGATAAAAGCCTCCAAAAACCATGTATGGTAATTCAGAGACCTCTGGTGTCCAGCACAGCAGCTCTGGGACAGGGACAGCACATCCAGACAGCTCTGCCCACCAGAATTACCTGAGCCACTGAAGGCTGGCTGTCAGCTGGGGATTAGTACAGAGCTAGGACAATCCCAAGTCTGAGAGTGCAAGTCATATCAGGAATCCTGGATCTGATCTGAAATGGGGAGATATAAGGGCAGGGTCTTGTGTCAGATTGGAGATCAGGAAAGGTTCTTCCCCCAGAGGTGCTGGCACTGCCCAGGCTCCCCAGGGAATGGGCACGGCCCCGAGGCTGCCAGAGCTCCAGGAGCCTTTGGCCAGCGCTGCCAGGGATGCCCAGGGTGGGGCTGTTGGGGGGTGTGGGAAGGGACAGGGCTTGGCTTGATAATCCTGGTGGGTCACTTTCAGCTCAAGATTTTCTGTGGTTCTCTCATCCTGTATTTCTATCACTCCCAGTTACAATAGTCACTGTGTCTTGGCCTGGCAGTGCCTGAACACTCAGGGCTACAAAAACTGGTTCCATGGCAAGTGGATTTAGGGAATGACAACGCCAAGAAAAAATGGGGTGCTGTTCACACTTTGTTCCCAAACTGTTACTTCACTAAGAGAACACAAGGTTAGGGGCAAAGATGCTTCCCTGTCACCAAAAAAAAAATCTCTGAACTACATGTTTATTGCTAATGCAGGTTTAATGTTTTGTTGTTTAATGCAGGATCTAGGAATGACGAAGATGACAAAACAGGCAGTGTGAAGTCCCGAGGTGGGGAAGAGAGAGAGGTGTTACCTAGTTTAGTGATGGTTGCATCTGAATAGAGCATCTGGATGAAATGGGGAAGCTTCTCCTTTTCCCCCTCAGTCTCAGCTTGCTCGAGGAGCTGCGGCAGGTCCAACAGGAACACCTCATCCTTCAGTGCAAGCTGCAGGAGGGCGACACGGGGCTTCCCCACCATGCCAAAGGAAGGCTTCCACTCCATGTCCACACCAACAACCTGCCCAGGCTGCAACAAAGACACTTTCTGCACCCAGAGCCTGTCTGTGCTTGAGAGGAGCCTGGAGAATCTGCCCAGGACACGAGCATTTCCTCCCCAGCACCAGCAGCTCTTTCTGCAAACTGCCACAGACACAGGGAACTCTCATAGCACCTGTGCTGCCCAGGAAAACCTTACCTGGCACAATTCCTAACACCTTCCCCAAACCAGACCAGCTTAAAGGAGCAGCTGTTCATGGCTTGGGGAGGTAGGCAGTGGATGGCAGTGGCCACATCCAACTCTGTGTCTCAGCCTGCAATGGAGTTCCAGCTCCCTGACCCTGCCAAGCCAATCCCAGGTAACACTCACCTGCAGCACCTTCTCCCAGCACTGCAGCATCTCCTCCCATGTCTGCAGAAAGTGAATATTTTCCCGTGGAATAGGAAGCTGGTAATAGTCCTTCTTCTTACTGGCCTCATAATTATCTGCTTTTGTGACCTTTTCTACCCTGAACAGAATCAGATGCAACAGTTTGAATTCATGGAAAGCCAGAAGGAAATCCTGGATTGGAGCAAGAGGGTTAAGTTTTACTCCCCTTATTTCACCCTGACCCTCTCTTTCCCCATGACACTCAGTTCTTTCCCAGAGAAAATAAACTAATCAAAAAGATCCAGCTCCACTGGACAGATCACACATTTCCGGATAGTCTCTCTCCCATAGAGACTTGAAATGGTTCATTATTTGGGAAACTATTAGTAGCCATATGTTTGGGAGGCTATGTGCCCAATTTTGCAGCAGAGCAGCTCTCCCTGCACAAACACTCTTTCCTGTGGGTTTGTGTGCATCGGGAAGTCAATATTTGTGTAAAATATTTAGTGAAGGTGTGCAGCCTCAGATCTCCAGGAATATTCTCACCTGCAGAGCTCAAGAGCCCTGTGTGGTGTGACCAGAGACAGATGATGTCATTTATATGCTGGTGCCACCTTGTTCTGTGCAGTGTGAACTCCCTCTGGGAAGCTGTGGCTGTGTTACTCAATAGGCTGGGCAGCCAGACTGTTTTATGGGGTTTCATGGCTCTGCTGACTTTATAGCAGCTACCACAGCAGGTATCATGACTGGATGAGTAAACTGCAGTACAAAGGGGTTTATTCATCCATCCCAGCTCCTCACGCAGGGCAAAGCACACCCTCACCTGCCTTCCCTCCACAACACAGGACTCCCACAGCACAGAGATGTAGTGATGGGTTTTATCTCTGGATGCACAGTCTGTGGCTCAGCCACACACTTGTAATCACCCCTTTGTGTTTTGAGGACTTATCCCTCATGGAAAAACCTCCTGGCTCCCAACTGGTGGCTGCTGTGGCTTCAGGAGGGAGGAGGAGGAGAGCAGGTCTGGCAGTGGTTTGGAGCGAGGCAGGAGCATATCCAAGACAGACAAGAGTTTCCTGTACTCCAAAAAAGCTGTGGACCTTCTGGAGAAGTGTTTTGAGGGTGATTACATCTGTGTTGTATTTCCTGAGGTGACACAGTGCTTGAACAAGTGCAGATCTGCATGAGGAGAAAGAGCAGATCCACAAAACCAGGATCCCTGAACATAAACTGTTCAAGGCCATCTTCCCAAAATCATCAGCATTAAAAAGTAATAATTAGTAAAACTCTGACAGATCTGCAATCACCTCAGTAAAATAGATGAGTATTTGCACTGTTGATCTGGCAGAGGAAGTGTAAGAACCCTCAGCAGCATGAAGGAATCTCACAGAGCTTCTGTGTACTCAGGATGAGTTTAAAATGCCCTTTTCATGGACATTTCCAGGCTTATGACAAACAAATGCAGTGTGTGCAGGGCCACAATGGGATCCAACTATATGGAGGAAGTCTCTGCAAACTTCTGTCCCCATGGACACACCATGGCAGAAAATTTTAAGCAAATATACAGTGTTTGTGTGAAAAGCAATCTGCATGGAAAAGGCATCAAACAGGAGATTTACCTGTCCTGGATGTGCAGCTTCTGAAGCTCCTCAGCCACGCGCTGAGGCAGCATCTCGGGGGGCACCCGGCAGCGCTGCGCCCAGCGCGCTGCCCCGCGCGCATCGCAGTGCCGGAGCAGCAGCTGCACCAAGTGCTCCTGGAGCCACCGGTTCTCCCCAACTGTGCTCTGCAAGGGCAGGGGGAGGGCAGACTGTCAGTGCAACTTCCATCATGGGGGTTTCTCCTCCTCCCAGGAGGCACCCTCGCTGTAAAACCCTTATTCCTTATGTCTAGTCTGAATCTCCCCTACTTTAGTTTAAAACCATCAGCTCAAGTTCTGTTGCGACAGGTCCTGCTAAAAACTCTGTCCCCATCTTTTTTATTGGCCCCCTTTAAGTACTGAAAGGTCTCCTTGGAGCCTTCTCCAGGGGAGCACCCCCAGCTCTCCCAGCCTGTCTCCAGAGCAGAGGGGCTCCAGACCATAATGCATCTTCTTGGGATGGCTTTCTTAGGATAGACATTCCCTATCTCTCCAGGGCAGATGGTGGTTTGGAGTCTCCTCCATCCTTGGAAGTATTTGCATGGATTGTTGCAATTGCCAGTCATCCCTAGGTGATTATGGATGGGATTGCCAGTCATTCATAGGGCAGGGAGGGCACATCAGCAAAGCTTTCCTGAGTGGTGTTCAGAGCCAGGAAAAGGCTGACATCACCCTCCAGCCTCCAGCCCCCAGTGCTGTTAGATGGGGGCTCCAGGACCCCCAGCACCAGGCACAGCCACGGGTGGAGCCCAGGCTGGCTGTGGTGGCACCTGCACTGGAACTCAGCTGGATGAAATGTGCAAGTCCCACATCCAGCTGGGGCGAACAATGATTGCATAAAGGAGTTCCTCCCTCTGTGTCTGTTCAAGGCCCTGTGAAGGTGAGAACTGGATCATTGCTTTGGGACAAACGCACTCTCAGGTGTCACTGTGCCCTGTGTTCACACCTGCAAACAGGGAGGGCACTTTAGGACATTCCCTGCTCCCAGCTGCTCCCTGGAGGAAGGGAAATGCCTTGGCTCACTGCAGAGCATGGGGACACCAGCACAAATTCACACTGCCTATGGTTTAAACCCAGAGCCCAGCTCTGGCAGGAACATGGCACAGTGCCCACCCTGGCAGGGGTCAGCAGCCACTTGCAAGGGGCAGCGACAGTTGATGACAGCTGGATGCACTAGAGCTCTTCTGCCTTGTCCACCTCTGGGAGGTGCAGGTGTAAGAGGAAATACAAACACACTAACACCGAGGGGCACACCAGCTTCATGGGGTGGGAGCTTCCCCACCTCCTCCCCAGCCAGCCCACACGTGCTGCAAACATCCTGGAGCCACCACAGCCACGTAGTAACTTCTCATCTCTGACCTAGTCATGGATCTGCCCTTGAAGTTAATATTGTCAAGAAAACTGCTAAAACAAGCTGAATCCCTACATGGTGGCCCAGGACCTGTAGCTCTAGGACTGGCACTACAAACAAGAATTTCAGAGGAGTAAAATGCTCAGATCTGCACTGGAAGTCTGTCCCCACCCTGCTGCCATCTGCCCTGTGTGCCCATCTGCACTGCACAAGGGCCCAGGCCTGTTCCCAGGCACCTTGCTCCCTCTGCCCAGCATGTAGGAACAGCTCCCAGCTGGGTGGGAGGCTGTGGCTGTGGGGCCTCATTCCTCACATTCCTTCAGTAACTAAAAGGTGAGAATTTGTCTTCAAAGTAGACACAGAGATCAGGAAACAAATCTGTTGATGGCCCCAAGGTAAAAAGGAAGTGAAACAGAAAGCCAAGGAGAAAAAAAGAATGACCCCCACCCAGAGGTGCAGAAGGGGGCAGAGGCTTAGTACAGATTGGAGGGATCTGGCACCCCAGGTAACAGCAGCCTGCTCACAAAAACTGCTGCCTCAGCACTCTGCCTGCACCCGGGGCCTCTGTCAAATGCCAAACCACAGCTCTTCTCACGGGTATGAGGAGGTACAGTTTTACTGCTGTTCCCAAGGGGCTGGGGGCACAGCAGGAGCCAGGGGGAGCAGGACAGGGGTCCAGCGGCTCCCCAGGGGCTCAGGTACAGGGGGGAAGGGGCAGGGCAGGAAAAGGACAGGACACATTCTCCTGCTCATGCTTCTTGCCCTCTACATTTCCCCTGGCCACGCCAGTCCTGACCTTTGTGTCTCTGTCCCCTCTTTGCCTTATGTGACTGAGCTCAGCCAAGCACTGAACACATGAAGAGGGGCTGAGTTAAACCCTCCTGCACATCTGCCAAGCCACTTCTCAGAGTCCTTTCCAAAAAGAACATATTTTCTTACTAACATTGCAGAGTAATTCCCTCTTCTTGCTCCCCCTGTGCCCATCCTATTGTCTTCCTGTCTTTTTTCTAAAACACAAACTCTTTGGTGTTGGAGCTCTCTTCAGTTCACCCGGAGTCAATTCTTAATAAATCTCATTGTGGCAGCTTTATTTCTGGAAATAATGAGGTGCAGATTTTTTTTATATTCTTTTAATGATAACAGATTTCTTCTTTCAACCACAAAAAAAAACTCTGTAAAGAAGGTTAATCTCTCCAGAGATATCCCCTCTTGCATTCTGAAACAGAAAATAGTTTTGTTCGTCTTTTTACTGAAAAAAAGAAAAAAACCAACATTGCTCTAAAGGGGAAAGGCTTCCACCGCAACAGCTCTGCGAGAGGCAAGAATGTGGAAACTTTGGCCCCAGAGATGTGGGCACAGATGCAGAGAGCAATGTTTCACCAGGGATGACATTTCATGTGCTTCGCTGTCAGTAAATGAACATTTCTCAAGAGGAAACTGGCACGGGTGCTCTGATCAACATCAGCAACACCTCCAAGCAGGAAAAGATTCTATAGAGCATGAGGCTTGTTTACATCCCTCTTGGAATTCTAGACATATCATACATTCTTTAATCCATAGGAGCACACAGAAACCCCTGACACCAACAATAACCCATGATTAAAGCTTCCACAGTGATGGCTGCAGATTTTCTACCCGTAAATCCTGTTCTCACTGCCAAGGCTTCACAAAGCTCACACCAACCACGCAGGGCAAACTCAGCAATGTCCTGACCTTAACCCATCAACCATTTCTCCATTGGTACCAATAATTTTGAAACCAAATATCCAATATCTCCCTTAGAAATCACCCTATCCAACCCTAGATCAGTTTTATCTGTATGTGTTATGCATTTCAGTCCCAGCCAATTCTGCCCTTTGCCTCAACATCTTTTCCCAAAGAGGGACGTTATTCACACCACTGACATTGGCTATTTGCAGAGTCAGATTTTAATTTAACTTTCGAATGTCTTGGCCAATTTCCCCTGTTTTCAAGTGCTTCCAGAACCAACAAAACCCCCTCCTGCTGGTGTAGAGAAAATGTCAAGGAGAATATTTTAGAGTCAGCAATTTTAAAAGGGGGAAAAAGAAAGCCAGACTTGAAAAGGACAAACCCCTGTCAGCAGTGGAGGGCACTGACAGCACTGCTGAGTTCCCTGTGGTGTGGCAGGTACAGACACCTGTGCTGAAACATTCCTTGAACATGCCACTGTGGTACTGTCACTGCAACTTTATTGAATTTGTGCTCGAGGTTTCTGTTTCAAAGTTTCCATCATTTGTGCTGCATGGGTAGAGCATCAGATGTCACTGAAGGGAACTCCTTGAAGTGTAAGGGTGGAGCTGGTACCCTCAGAGCCAGCTCAGACCAGGGCCACAGCCTTTTCTCTAAGAGGAGGGGGATCCTCTCTTCCGGAGAGCCTACAGAGATCCTGGAATCCCAGAATGGTTTGGGTTGGAAGGGATCTTAAAGTTCCAACTCCCCTGCCATGGGCAGGAACCTTCCACTAGCCCAGGGTGCTCCAAGCCCCATCCAACCCGGCCTTAGACACTTCCAGGGATCCAGGGGCAGCCACAGCTGCTCTGGGCACCCTGTGCCAGGGCCTGCCCACCCTCACAGGGAAGGATTTCTCCCCAACTTCTAATATAACCCTGCCCTCCTTCAGCTTAAGGCCATTTCCCCATGTCTTGTCACTGCCTGTCCAGGTAAAGTCCCTCTCCCTCTTTCCCCTAAACCCCCTTCAAGTTGCAACAGGCCACAATAAGGTGTCCCTGGAGCTTCTCTTCCTTGGGCTGGACACCCACAGCCCTACCAGCCTGGCTTCAGGGCAGAGGGGCTCCAGACCATCTCTGTGCCCTTTCTGGACTCTCCAACAGGTCAATGCCTTTGTGGTGCTGAACACCCCAGAGCTGGACACTGTGCTCCACGTGGGGTCTCACAAGGACACGGTGGAGGGAGGAAATCCTCTCCCTTGGATAAAAGAGGCCAATTTTCCCTCCAATCTGTCCTGAGCAAGGTTTCTGTGGAAGCAGCAGTCACTCGGCCACGGCCACCACCCGCAGCCAGAGGCTGAGAACGCCCTGAGAACAGGCTGCTGTCTCACCATCTGAGCTGCTCTTGGTCACAGGCACTGGGCACTCATCTGTGAACTGGGGGAGAGCAGAGGAGGCTCCATGGAGAGCCCCGCTGGCGGCCCTCGGTCCGTGCTCAGCGGTCACTGCCGCAGCCACTGCCCTGCTGGGCAGCCATTCCCACAGCAGTGCGGCCTGGGCCTGGTCCTCCCTCAGAGCTCCGGCCCTGCGGCTCCCCGGGGCACCCTCGGCTCCCTGGGGCACCCTCGGCTCCCTGGGGCACCCTCGGCTCCCTGGGGCACCCTCGGCTCCCTGGGGCACCCTCGGCTCCCTGGGGCACCCTCGGCTCCCCGGGGCACCCTCGGCTCCCCGAGGCACCCTTGGCTCCCCGGGCCACATTCAGGCCCGGGGAGGTGGTACAGGTGTCTGCCCCACCTCGCTCCTGCTTTGTGCATCTGGACACTCAGTGGCCAGGGCCCCCTGCCTCTTCCAAAAGGCAATTCAGAGGAGTCTACCTTAGGATATCACTGGCAGGGATCAAGGCAAAGGCAACTCTTACAGTCAGCTTGCCTCTGTACTGGGGCTCCTCACAGGGAGCTGATTGTTCTTGGCAACCTGGAGGAAGCTGCTGGTTTGTGGTGAGCAGCTGAACAATATTGTGTGACAGGATGCATCTGCTCCATGTTCCTGTGTGCCTCACACAACAACGGCCAAGTGGCAGCCAGAAGGGTCACACCACGCTTCTCTGG